TCCTTAAAGGGAGACATTTTGCCAATGTGGAAGAGGTGAAACAAAAAACAGCAGAAGCCCTAAAAGGCACCAAAATCGACAAGTTCAAAATCTGTTCTGAGCAGTGAAAAAATGTCTCGATAGGTGTATTGCATCAAATGGAGAGTGCTTTGAAGGTGACTGAAGTTTAAACATGTAAGAACAAATACACAATTTTTTTAATAAATAAATTCTAGGGCTTTTTAGGTTCCCCCTCATACAAATATTTTAGTTTTATTGTACTGTTGTTAAACATGAAAATAATAGCATTATATAAATACATTCAAATTTTAAAATTTGGTTTTCTGGAAAATTGTGGCACATTTTGTGTGCCCACAGGAAAGATAGTTGAAAAGATAATAAACCAAACTGTACTACTCATTTGCATGGGCTTTTCAAGATAATTTGCAATGTTAAATAAAGCATCATGTTAAAAATCAAATTTAGATCCACATATTGTTCCCCACTAGGAAGGCAATACATAATGAAGATCACTTTATGCAAGAATGTCTGAATTTCAGACATAATCAATATTTAAGATATTTTATACCCTTTGAAAAAATAAAATGCTTTCCTAATTAAGGCAAAGTGACTTCCTTTGTTTACTATGCCTAAATAACATACCATTTCTCCACTTTTTTCCAAGAATATACAAAATACTAATTTATAATAAATATTAGTAAATATTTATTAGTAACTTAACATAGGTATTAGTAATAGAAATAAATATTACTCTTAGAGTTCAAAGAATCTGGAGGTCTGAAATAATCTAATCACACAGTAACACTCTATATAACATCCCTGAGAAATAACAACACAGTTCCTTTTCAACTCCACCAGAAACCTACTTCTTCACTATCAATTCATTCCCCTATTGAACATCTCTAGTTGCTTAAACATGTGCAGTAGAAATCTGTTTCCCTAAAACCTCTGCTAAATTCTAATGTCACTTCCAGTTTAAGGTCCTTCCAACTTACTCTGTAATTCTCACACAGAAATCAGACCCCTACTGCAGAATCAGTGGCCCAAGAGATTTGTATATATTCCAAAAAGAGGCTGGAATAAAGCTAACTGGAGATATATCCAGGAAAATAGCATCTAAACAGCCTTCAAAAGGCTCCCCACATGGCAGTACACCACGGGTAGGGTCCAGTCCGCTGGCCTATAGGTGCGGAAATTTCATTTTACAAAACCTCAGAACTGAGTGGGCTAAGAAGCTGACTTGCATCCAAAAATTGCACAGAAATTAAGGACTAATTAATTCACAAAAAATAAATAAATAAATGACTGTCAAACCGATAAGATATTCCGATGGTCCTGCGAAAGCCAGTCCCAATATGTAGGCCACATAGAAGTCATTTTATTTTAAGATTGTCTAGAGGGCAGAGGATGAGAACAAAAGAAATGGTTTAATAGCATCAGATACCGATGGTCTAGGGCATCCATCTCTGCAGCTGGGGTTACCAGTTCAAGCTGGCTTCTCAGGGCCCCCTGAGAATGCTTGAATATATAATTTGACTAGACCTTCAGAAGCTTCTTTCGCCTAGCTGGAACCCTTGTCCAAAGGGAAACGTTCTTTCTTCATATCTATGGATAGGGTTAGTCCAGCTTCACACTGTCGTAGCTGTACTTTGATCTATAAGGAGTTGCTTTGATAGACTCTCTGAATGACATCTTATTTTTTGCTTTTTGGGGAGAAAAAAGCCAGGGTAACAGTAAACATACACACCTACCTATACAACCTGCCCTTGGCTGTATTGACGTAGTCTCTAAAATTCTGTGCCTGGCTCTCCGCCTTTCTGCCCTCACCTTCCCTGACTTGTGGTAAAGTAAGGCCATTCTCTGTGTTGCTGGCTCCCCTGTCTCTTTCCCCTGAAAGCACAAGGACAGAAACCATGCGTATAGCTATGCTTTGGAGCACCCAGACTCTCTAATTATTATCTGGAGTGTTGACTAGCAATAAGCATGCAGCCCTATCAGCTCTGCTGAAGTAACTCAAATTAAACTAGAAATTGTTTCTTAAAAACATCTGGATTTCTTTTAGAACAAACCATTTGTGAACATTTAAACAGAAAACTAGTCAAAGATTTTCAACAAAGACTGGAAGAGTTTCTACCGTTCTCTCTCTCTCTCTCTTAGAAGAGCATGACCCTTACATTAAATCTCTTTTTAAATGGAGGACAGATACCATAGACTTCCAAAGTTATCACTTATATAATTTTTAATCTTTAAATGTTCTTATATTGCTTGAATACCTTGTGTAAACATCAGGATTACAAATACTATGGTCCATACACATATTTGGTTGCAATATTGGATTTCTGTGCCTGTACTTTTCTTAATATACTTAAATTTCATTTCTAAAATATGTCTATTGCATTACTAGAAGTGGTTATATATTCAGGTTTTCAATCAACTGGTATTCTTGGTTGGATTGACTATAAATTTGTTGACATATATTGATGATTCCTCATTTTCCTGTCTAGGAATCATTTCTTCTACTCATTTATTTTCAATCTCTCTCCTTTCCTAGTTGACAGTATCCCACAAATAGAGCACTCCAAGCTCATAAGGAATGGTGTAAACTAATTAACAGATTTTATGTGGAAATGCTTGCCTCTCCCAGGTGATCATACTGTCTGAGTAATGAACTTTATAGAAAACATCCAGCTTTTACCACACTTAGGCAACAGGTTCACTCAAGCTCTTATTTTTGCTCTTGATCTTCAATTTATAACCATGAATATGGTACAAAACCAGAAACAAACAGTATGGGATGAGGGACAAAGTTAAAAATAAAATAGCCTAAAAAATGATTCTGAGTTCAAGAAAATTCTTGATCTTCTTTTGCAACTGACAGAAAGAAAAATAGCCCTAATAAAAAAAATACTGTGACTAAAATCACATTGTATAACTGAAACGTAGGAAAATCACAGAAAGTTCTGCATGCAGGTGTGCAGAAGCACTGAGGGGTTACTAACAAACACTAAATAGCAGTATCTAATAGTTTGTTATGGGGAAAAGATCCAGAAATAAGAGTGAAAATCAGTGCTGGTTCATTACATGAGCAGTAGAGCCAGCAACCCCCACTGCGAAGGCTGCTTTTAAAACAGCAGGTGCATGGTTTGACCACCCCAGTTTATTGCCCCCGGCTGTGGCGCAGAATGAGCCTGGCCTTCTCCATGGTTTCGTGAATGACCACAAGCCATCTCAAGGTGCATTTAAATGCCATGGGTGCCCTACTTCAATTTTGGTCACGTACCCCCATTTTGGACATTTCGCTCAACACTAACCCGTTTCAGTTTTGGTGTTTGCTTACTGTAGGTGCAATTTGTTATCCAAAACACCATGATGCAAAATTCTAAAATAGTTTGGAAGAATTGAAGAAACCAAACCAGAAAATTCTGCATATGTTTAGTACTTTTCATGGAAGAGCTTGAGTGAACCTGTTTAATGGCAATTATTATAGTAGAAATATTATAATGCAAGCAAAAGATCATCTACATAGGTAAAGAGTCACAGACAGAGAACAAATGAATAATTTAAATGCCATCTCCAGTCTCTCCAGCAGACTTATTGGACATCCTTTATTAACTTGCATATTTAATTTGAAATATTACCCATCATACCAATATATGTAAAAATTCCAACATAAGAAAGCACTTAATGTATTTAACAATTTATTCCAAACTAATATTTTGCAGATGACACCTAGATATTAAAATATATAGGTATTTTATAGCACTGCTTAAATGTAAATAATACATTTTTCTGATTCACTAATAATAAAGGTATGTTTTTTTTTCTCCTGATGATTACACTCATCATCCATGACTGTCAGTAAAATGATAAGGGAAATACTATAATAAAAAAGTATGCCTCTATGTGAAAATAAAAAGAAATAATTTGTTTCATAAGAATAGTAATTCATTCTTAATAATCCATCACTGCTGACCAATTACTGTGGTGTTGAAGGATAGCTTTAGATTGATGTCAAGAACATTATATTGCTCATGTGTTTGGACAAGAATTTTGAAGTATATCAGATCTCAGTCTATAGAAAAGATTCAAATAGACAAAACTTTACATTATAAAATGAACATATAAAGAATCAAAAGACTGCTCAGAGATGACATTACAAATATGAAGCAAAAGTGTTTGGACTAACAAAAGTCAGAAACAATATTTTGATATACCTACATAAATATGAGAAAACAAATAAAACTTGTCAATGACAAAGGTAAAGGTTCATTTTAAAACACAAATTTTTTTCTTTATCATAAGTTTAAGTTTTACATAACATTCATAACATAGGCCAAATATTATGCATTAAAATACACTTACAGCATTCAGCATGCACTGTGTTAGTATCTACATAAATGATTCTGAAGTAACATTTGCTGTTTCAATAGCTTTATTTTGGTAATTAAAAATGTATGGGTACTAATAAAATTCACATTCACAGTAGATAAAAAAGCCTAAAAGAATACTTTTGTTGAAATTTGCATTGTGTTTTGGAAAACATCTGTTTAACAATTGAATGCAGTCATATTTTAACTTTTAAGTGTCCACATTGAGAAAGTATCAAGGTATTACAGCAATTTTCATGAGGACATTAAGCTAGACTTTGATGTTCAAAAAACAGAATATTTCTTCTTGAATTATTTCATGATCAATGTACAGTCTCTACACAAGAAAAATTAAGGCTATCTGACAACTCATAGACACATTACTGGCTGTTAAAAATGTAAGAAATTGCATAAAAGCATGAAAATACTGGGTAATTTTATAGTTCCATCTCTAAACACAATTGTGAAGATGTCTGTCTTTCAATTCTCCCTCTCTCTTCTGAAGTATAGCCTTTTAGTTCCTGCCCTTTTAAATATTTTCACCTACTGTAACTTTGCTTCTTAATGTACTAGTTGATCTTACTGGGTTAAGGAAGTATTTACAGAGGTGCTTGCTTTTATCTGTCTTCACAGAGAATGCTAACAAATTGGAAGAAAGTGCCAGAGAACACCACATACCTTGTCCAGAACATTACAACGGCTTCTGCATGCACGGCAAGTGCGAGCATTCTATCAATATGCAGGAGCCATCTTGCAGGTAATGTTTCCACTCTTTAACTTTTGAAATGTACAAAATATGTAGGAACTAAATGCTGGATGTTTACTGAGAATTGGATGCCATTCTGCTTGAATGGGTGATCAGTAGCGAACTTTTCTTGGCCTCTCCTACACACGTGCACCGGCACGCACCCACTAGGAAAGCGTGAATGTATGTGCTGGCACACCCAAGCACTATCACATCAGTATACGTATCTATTTGGTATCATTTTAAATTGTACTTTGGGCATTAAAAGCTACTTAAAGACACAGGCTCCTCTGTTTTGTTCGCCCTCCTTACCATAGATACAGACCAGCACTTGGCACATATCAGGTGCTTAATTATAAATATTCCTCAGACAAGTGAATGGGTGAACGCTTGCTGTACAACAGATGACACAATTACTTTTAGGAGGCCAACTTTTCCATAGTCCTTTGGGTCTTAGAATAAACATCATCAATCTTGGTTTTGCTAGGCACACATTCTTTTTCTGTGGGTCTGCTATTCACAAACCTTGTATGTATAATGAGGTAATAAGCTATACCTCCACAGATTCAAACTCACTTGAGACACAAAGAAATTGCTTGTCTGGATTTAGTTAATAAATGTACATATCTGCTAAATATTTATGAAGAGAACATAATTATTTCAAATGTGGTAAAGCCAAAGTGAAAAAATAGATGTATTTTTATTAAAGGAATATACAAGTGACATATGATGAAATAGGTTGTATTTTGCTATACAGTGAACGGAGTTTCTCTCCCTCTTTCTCTCTCCTTTTCCCTCTCTTACCCTCTTCTCCTCCCCAACCCCCGCTTCTCAAGAACTGTCTTCCTTTCATGTTTCCCTTCACTGAATGCACTAGCACCTGCCTTCCAGTGAAGCCAGGCAAAGTGAACATACTGAGAGGTTGCTCCTGCTGACCTGTCATCCTCAGCAGATTTGCCATTATTAAACCCGTCTGATGCAGACAGGGAAGATCCCAGGACGCAGTTAGGAGAAATTCAAAGCAAAATACTAAAATAGTGGTGCAAAGTCAATGGCAAATTGATCCCCATTGGCATTGTTTTTATGTGAGCTGTTTTCTTGTTTCATTGTGAGATGCTAATTTTAATACGCAGATTGTCTACCTGAGCTTTCTGATGAGTATTGAGTGAGACGCAGCATTCATTCTTAGATGAATAGCACATAGGCTTGCTTTGCAAAACTACATCGCCTGCATCATATTATTTTTTTCCTGCTGAAATGTAACTCTCTAACATAAGCAGACAACGTTATGACCAACAAATTAAAGAAATTATTCTTATTGTACCTCTGGCCTTAACATTCTTCAACATGTATTCTAACAATAGCGTAGAGAATGCTATATCCAAAAATAAGTAAGTGAATAAATCAATAAATAAAATAGGTTTATTTTTTATACCCATGTCATCAGAAAGAAACCCTTTCTTTTTTTCAGTTAATCATATTGACTTAGGCTAATGAAAGAACACGTTAAGTAAAACATAAAGCTCATTTGAAAAGTAGATATAGAATGAACAATTATCAAATTCTCTTATGGTACGTACAAAAAGGAGCTGCATATTTTTGAAACTAAAAATACAAAGAGATTTTTTTTTTAAATAAGTAGTGGAGATCTAATATCTATGAAGTAGCATTTTTTTCTTTCTTTCTTTTTTTTTTTTGGAGAAGGAAACAAAAAGCCCTACTTTCATGATGAAGATAAATGCTTAAAGGCCAATAGTAAAAATGAGTCCAATAACTTCAGGTAACTAGACATTATAATTTCTTCCAGGTGTGATGCTGGTTATACTGGACAACACTGTGAAAAAAAGGACTACAGTGTACTGTATGTTGTGCCCGGCCCTGTACGATTTCAATACGTCTTAATTGCAGCCGTGATTGGAACGATTCAGATTGCTGTCATCTGTGTGGTGGTCCTCTGCATCACAAGGTCAGTAATTGTGCTCAGCGGCCACCCAAATAAAGGGATATGTTGTTCCTCCTTGTCTTAATCAGATCACTCTACTTACAAGTCTTTTAACGGGCTCTGCAGCCAGCCATTCCCTTGAGTCCTGTTTCTTCATCATAACAGCATCTGAATAGCCCAATGGAAAGATATTGATTTTCATGATGGAGTACTACAAATCAGTTTTTTTAACTTTTGCATTATGATGAGGATTATTTACTTTCTTAGCAAAGGTCTTTTTCCCCCCTCTAATGTGTAATACCAGTCTTTGTTTAAGTATACTCTTCTCTTTCAACTATAAAAAGTCAGTCTTGCTTTAAACTTTTAACAGACTATTTAAATGGCCAGTGTTTCCTTACTTATCCAGGTCAGTATGTTGAATGAGGTTAAAATAGATTTTAAACAAGGCCTAGAAGAGTGTTCAATTATATCTCTGATTTATGGCACTTACATTTCCTAGTATAACTCTTAGATGTAATCATTTTTAACATATTTGATATAAACAAAAAATACATTTTTATCTTAAGTTAACAAAAGAGCTTAACCATAAAATTCAAATAGTTACACTGAGAAAAATTATGTCATAGTACGTGTAAACTTCTGATACACGGAAACGTGCAGCAAATATCCAAACAAGGTTTTAATCTCAAACCTCCAGAACAATTAAATGGCAGTTGTTTCCCAGATAGTTTGAGAAAGATAAAGAGATTTCATCCGGCTTCAGTAGGGAAAAAAACATGATAAATTAGTGATGTCTAACACGGGGCTTGGAGTAAAGGTGTGAGGCCAGGTACCTGCTTAACTTTATTAGTGTGTAAATTCATGGTAACCAAGAATTAGATTCTAACCCATATGTATATTGTTTATGTCTCTTCTAACCTGAAACATTATTGAAGGTAGTCTTTCTGCTCTGTGTTTACTCTCCTTGAGGAAAAAGTTCTAAGTAAGTTTTCAAGGTTTTCGCCAAATTCACAAGGCATTTAGACTTTCATTCATTTGCCCAGCTCTACGGTAAATCAGAATGGTTCCCAAAAAATTATTTTCAGAAGGGAAGAAAGTAAAAGAAAGTATCATATCTTTAGAAAACAAAGGCCATAATGCATCTCAGTCTCTGTACTGCACTATCTTCTTTGAGGACACATGTGGCGTTTGCTCTTGAAAAAGACAAAATATGGTTCATAAATCCTTGCCCAGCCTAAAGGCTTAAGGGAAGATCATTGACTGGAGTTTTGTGCTGCTCTACCCCACGTGGAGTTCATCAACTAGACTCACACATTTAGATGCCAAGTGAGTCAGTGGATTATATTAAAATAGATTCTGGGAAACATAAAGATGACTCAAGAAACCAAAAACACTGAGTATAAAAGAAAAGATGGAAAAGAATCTAAAACATAGGAAACGGTGCCATATTACACTGAAAGTTTTGAGCTTTCTAATATATAAGCAATATCAGAATATGAAAAACAAAATTTATATTTAGTAGCTCTAATCTCATAACAATTGAATTTGCTACTTCACGTATTGACAAAAATGCAAAACTTTAAATAGCAGATGTTTTCAAGTCTGTTATTAATAGCAGTGCTATTCCCATACACCATAAAAACAACTGGAATATATACGGTGCTAACCCCACCAGGAATTCTGTCTGTATATATTATATGTATATATCCTATCTATGTATACACACGTACAGACACATATGTTTAATAGCATTTTGAGGAAGGTACAATTGAACCCATTTTCAAGGTAGGGACTCTGAGGTATGAGAAGTTAACAAATGGCTAAGTGTACCCAGATGAACAATAAGGATAGAAAAAGAGGGCTGCCTACTGAGAGAGCCTGTGCACCTAACCACTGCTCATACTGACCCCTGGCTGGTCATGATGTTGTATATTGCAATGATCTAGGCAGGCTCAATCAAGTTCCAAACTAGAGCAAGCCATTTTTACAAAGCATATGGTCATTATCATTACCCATGTTAAAACAAACAAAACCTATCTTCTATTTACTTTTGAGGAAGAGTAATAGCTTGTGAACTGAATTAGCAGTACCGCAATGCATTATATAAATCTATCTTAGGACATCTAAGCCTTCCAAAGTCTTTCCAAGGGTCCAACTAGTCAATAAACTATACTGTTCCCACGGCGGCTTCATTTCGATCACTTGAAAACATTCACCTCGAAAGCCAGACTTTCCAACTTGGCCATTCTCCACTACCAAAACCCTTCCTTCTTGGTGACCAGGACACATGTGTCTACCAAGGTCTATTCCAAAATATCTAGTTGCTAAAAGACTTTAAAAATTGCACCAAGTAGAGATCCTCTCACTTTTTTCAATATTTTTAATCTCTTCTCTCTTCTACTTTTTGCTTCCTTTTCTCCTTATCCCACATTTTTTTCTAACTTCTTCCCCTTGTTTTTACTATTTTAGTCAAGCATCTGTCTTCTTCCTAAATACAACATGTATTATTTTAAAAAGAAAAAACAACAAAAAACCTGGAGACATAAAAAGAGTTGCCCTGTTGAAAAGATGGCTTTTCAACCTCTTTTTCTGTAGCTCCCAGTTGCTAAAAATGTCACTTCCAGTTTCATGTTCATTTTAATAAATCTACCCTCTCTCCCCTCCAAGAAAACACATGTATATGTATACTACATATTTTATTTATATACTCTCTGATACCCCACAGCTTATTATGATAGGATTTTTATGAATTTTATGTTGTTCTTATTTGCATCATCAAAGCATTCTTTTATTATAAAACAAGAGATACTAGATCACAGCTTTTCAGGTAATTTGACTGAATATTAGCTTTTTATGGAAGCTAATTAATTGGCACCAATTTATGTCCTTAGCTTATAATATTAATGCAAAAAATGATATTAGGCTGAACAAAAATATGTCTTTCCATTATATATCAGATATTAACAGTTGGCTCATTCTCTGGTTTTATGGGATTTAAACTTGTAGCATTGAAATGTCAATATAACATTCACCCTTAGGAAATTTAAGATATAAAATTGTTGAAGACCTTGAAAGTGAGATTAGATGGGATCACAATTTGCTTGATTGCATTATGCTTAGTCATTCTTTGTGCTGTAATAAGTAAATGTTGAGAACTAGATAAATGTATCCTCTTCAACTTTCGCCTCTATTCAATTCTCCTCAACAGAAGCTTGAAGATGACTGCAACTTGGCTATACTACTAATAAATTCTTTTATCTGAACTATCTTAATAACGTGCTTAATCCATAACTTCACTCTGTGATTCTAGGACCAAACTTTAGGTGATAGCACTGGACTAAGATTTGTAAACTTTCCAACCTTCTAGGAAATGCCCCAGAAGCAACAGAATTCACAGACAGAAGCAAAATACAGGACACTACAGTTCAGACAACACAACAAGAGCATCCACGAGGTTAATCTGAGGGAGCATGTTGCACAGTGGCCGAACTACCGAAAGCTTGGACTACACAATACAGTATTATAGACAAAAGAATAAGACAAGAGATCTACACATGTTGCCTTGCATTTGTGGTAATCTACACCAATGAAAACATGTACTACAGCTATATTTGATTATGTATGGATATATTTGAAATAGTATACATTGTCTTGATGTTTTTCTGTAATGTAAATAAACTATTTATATCACACAATATAGTTTTTTCTTTCCCATGTATTTGTTATATATAATAAATACTCAGTAATGAGAAAAAATTGCATTCTTAAATTTGCGGTATCTCATAACTGTAAATATAATCAAGCTAGTACAATCTCTACAGGTACCAGGTTTTCATCTGTCACCACATCTTGAAACAGAGCATTAGTTTATACAGGGCTCAGTGGCAAGGTTTTGAGTGATTCCAAGATCAAGGGAAATGATGGTTATTGGAAAAGAAAAAATAATAATTTACTTTATATCAAATAAGGATAAAATATTTCAGATCTTTGAATTACCTCTATTTCATCAACTTTCTTCCTTGGTCCTCTATTTTCATCCCCAGAGCAGAAAAATCTCTGTCATATAAATTAAATCAAAGAAGAAGGGAAGGAAGCATGTTTTATAACTCATAACAGAGAAAGAAAGAAGATACTGGTTTTTATTTGCAAAGCATCTTATAATCTCCCACTTAAAGGCATATATCCAAAGGGTCCTGAATAAGTTAAATATTAGGAATATACAGAGCACAAAATCTGTTCTATTTAGGTGAGTGGAATTAACAACTACAGGAAAATGTTAATAACATCATTAAATATAAAACACCAAAATCATGAATTCTTTGAAGCACTTTACTATATTTATAGCGTATAGTTCTTTAAAAAGAAGTTTTAATCACAACTAAATATCTCATGAATAGCCTTATGATTAATGCAGCATCATTATTTGAAATGGAACTAAGATGATGATAATATTTTATAAAACAGAGAAATATGCTTTAAGCATATTTATATGATGAAATAAGAAAGAAAGTGAATCCCATAGCATCGGAAAGAGCTTAGTAGGAAGTTGATGGGTTTTTGAACATACAAATAGGAAGGACTATTTTGGGAAAAAATTAACAAAATTCTCAAAGAAAAAGATTAAAATAACAAAGCAAATAATTGCCTTTGTATTATTTAGTTCTTCATAGCTTTCTGTTGCTAATGTAGTAAATCTAAATAAAGCTTTCTTGTCTCCTTCAAGTTACCTGTGCACGAACTAAAAGAGGAGATACTCTTCTGTCAAAAAAAAAAAAGTATCAAATCACATTCTGAATACAAAATATTCAATGAAAAACAAGGTTCCTTAAGTGATATTTAACATATTTGGCAAAACATTGAAAGGTGACAATCTAAATAGGATTTAGGATGCTGTGAAAAATCTGTTTTTCTAGGTTATCATCAATTTGAAAAGTGTAAATCTATTGGCATAACCATCATTCAGGCATTTCCATAAATCGGTTCTGTGCTTCTTGTACAAAACAAACTCCATTTAAACTTCTGCATGGTTTTTTGGTTTGGGTAACAGGTGCAGAAATGTAACTAGCTCTGATCTCTTTTGTAAGATAGGAATTGTGGCAAACAAATCATCCTCCTAAAGGAAAAACAAAAATGCAACCTCACAGGGCTTAAAGAGCTTAAAAGAAACAACAATTTGACTGACTTTTACTTGTATGTATGAAATTGACTTGCTTTGTTAAATATTGATACATTACTTTGTATGAATTTTTATCAAAACATTATAAACCTGAGTGTTGAAAAAGTCCTTGGAGTTAATAATATAATACATTTCTGTTCATCTCCATGATTACCCACTTCATGAACAAATCCCTTTTAAAAGATATAATAACAAATCTTAAGTGAGCATGTACTATATACCGGGAGGTCCTACGGAAACAGAAACGAAACATAATCTCTACTATAAAGGAACACACAATCTAGTCCAGACGGATAATCATCTCACCTCTATTTGAGAGCTTGTTTGGAGGTTCTAGTGGAGAGCACAGCTACTCATTTACCCTTGACCAAAGACCAGTCCTCTCCTCTAGTTGGGAAGGTTGTCCTCTTTGACTGAGCACACAGCTCCAGGAGGGATGCACATGTATCAGTGAGGGAGGGTGGGGACATCTGCCTAGCCAACTAGATCAGCCAGATCAACCCCGGTGATCCATGAGGTGACAGATGTCACAGCCAGATAGCCCTCACATACGAATTTGGAAATTCCATTCTTGGACAATTCTAATTTTGAGACCAATTTTTTTCATATTTAGTTAAAATTTATTTCTCTATGACATCTACCCATTGATCCTAGTTTATCTCTCTGGAGCAAAGAAATAGTGAATTATGTATCTAAAAATACTGGGGAAGATACCATGCTTTTCCCCTCACTCCACAGTCCCTTTGCAAGTATATTTCCTTCTGCAGATGAAACATCTGTACTGTCCTCGTCTGATCTTCATGTTATATGGTTTCCACATCCCCATAGCATCTGCATCATCCTTCCTTGGGCAAACTCTACCTGTCAATTTCTTTCTTTAAGCATTGAATTCCGAATTGCACAGATTACCACAGCTGTGATCGGACCAGGACCGCATATAATCAAGTTTATAGAAAACAAATTTAACTAAGAGCTGTAGTCTCTAAATCCAAGTCCTGCTTTGACCCCAGATTTGCCGTGGAACTATGAGCATGTCATTTCACATCTCAGGGCTCAATTTTCTTATGACTTCTATCTCTTTAATTTGAACTATTCAAACCCAGGCACTATACAGTTATTATAATTGCCTAAGACCACATTCACCATATTTGCTGTCCACAATTTAAATTCAAAACTCTTTCTAAATAAATTGCCAGTAAGCCATGTTATTTACTCACCCATTCAATAATTCATCCATTGATTCATTGTACATCACACATTACTGAGGACAACCAATGACCAGCACTGTGCTAATCTATGAGAGGACAAAGAAAAGTAAGCCAGAGTCCCTGTCTGAAATGAACTCACCATCAGATCATTTTGGTCCCTTGTATCAAAGAACTCATAGCCTATGGGGGAACACTGAGAGAGAAATAAAAAACTGTAAAGAATGTACAAAGGCTATGAGAACAGGGACCCTCCAGACGGAACCTCCAGGCTGGGTAGGAGTGCTTCCTCACAGTGAGATCCACAGGGTGGCTTCGTTCTCCACACAAACCCTCACTACTTGCTTCGGAGATTTTACCCACTCCTCATGTTCTCTTCGTGCCATTCTTCTCTCCACAATACCTGGAACAGGAACCAGCTCATCCGTGAATCCTCCCTGACCCTTGGCAGTCTTCTGAATTCTGCTATGGTACTTTCTGTGTTATTTCTTAATTTCCCGTGCAAGTCTGTCTTTCCCTTAGCCTGGGAGCAAGAAGAAGGCAGAAAACCCTTGCCTTGCCAGTTGTTTCCATGCATTCAGCAAACCTTTACTGGGTGCCTACACTGTTCCAGACACTTCTGGGTGCTGCATGGAGCACTGAAGTGAATTACAGGTCTCTGCTCTTACGTTCATATTCTAGCAGAGGAGGTGGAAGTGAGGATGAAATAAAAAATAAACAGTAACAACAAAAAAACTAGAAAGTTGTTAAGTTCTATTCAAAGAATTAAAAATGGAATGAGGTGACCCAGGGCGACGGGAGGGTTACCGGGGGTGGGGTCCCTCCAGGGAGACTGTAGTATTTAGACCTTGGCCTCTGAAGCAGAACAGAAACGGGCTCCAGTCTAGGCTTCACTTTACCAACTATTCAACTTTGGACAGGATGCCTAATTTCTTTACACCTTGTATTTAAAGTGGAGAGAAACATGGCTTCCATGCCCACTATGGCTGTTATGAGAAATAAACAAGACAATCCATGTTGGGCTTAGCACAATAGTATGCACATAATAAACTTTTAATGTATGAAAATTATATTTTAGGGACATAACATATGTAATTTTTTGTAAAAGTAAATAAAAATAAGCTACATTTCAGCAGTTAAATAAAGCATAATGGAATCATGTGGTCATAGTTAGAAGGACCCATTAATCACATTTATTCAAAGGGGTGTCTCATACCTTTAGAGACAAGAGAGCTGGTTCTGGGAAAGTAAGGCAATACAGAGTTAAGAAACAATACAGCTTCTCTCATTTTTTTTTTCAAGTGAGTCTGCTGGTATCATATTTGAACAAGAGAAAGACTTCTTTCATTTCAAAGAGGCCTGCCTTACTAAAGCACACACGCTTAAATCTTTCGTGTATTTCTAGGCACAGGATGAGTGAGTCAACATTGCAGCAGCTTTGCAGGACGAAATTCTTTACTTTCATGAATCTTTGAGAAGTCAGTGCAGACTATCAGAATATGACAGAGTTTATCTCAAAGTCATTTTAGACCCTCTACTAATGCTTATCTTCAAATGGTACTTCCCATCTGCAAAGTCTTGCAGCACCTGTTACTGTTAGTAACAGCTATTACTGTTACTCAATTATAGTAGACATTTCACTTATGTAATTCATCACCTGGAAATCAATAACAGAAAGAAACCTTTTCATTGAATTAACTGATATCTTTATATGAACCATCATATCATGTAACAAATGAAGGATCATATAAAATAATGCTATTAGTTTTTATAACCAACGCATAAATATACAAACAAGTATGGCCTTTTGAACTCAGCATCAGGAAGGTACAGCCTACCCAGTCATATTTAGGTCTCCTTCCAGCCTCACTCTGGATAAAAATGTACTTTACTGATACACCTACTCTGGGAATGTTGCGCTAATTGATATCTATCTCCAGTAACATTAAATAAATTGTTTTAGCTTAGTTTTTTTTGCTTACTTTTAACTTTTTAATTAATTTGCATTATTTCTCTTGCATCAGGTAAGAAGTGAAAAAATAATGTGTTCCTTTATGTTTTCTAAACCAAATTTAATTCTGCACACGAACCTAATTTAAAGTTAGTGAGAAGTCCAAAATCAGTTTCCACGGGGGAGGAGAGAGAGGGGATAGGACCAAGTCCTGGTTTTCTTCCTCTACTGATTTCATTGCCATAGCTAAACCTACCAGTCTTCCTGAGGCATCAGAGGCACTGCCTGCACACAAGGCTGGGCCACAGTGATCTCCTAAGTCAGC